GAGTTAATGGTATGTAACACAATTCAAGTTCCAACGAAAAAATTGGAAATAATAGGCTAAATTCATAACAACCCAAATCCATTGCTAAATATTGTTCATATTGGCCCTATGGCCGTCAGGTTTACAGTTTTAAAATGTGTTTGTTGGATGATGGAAGTCCCACATCGACTAATTTAGGAAATGAGTCATGAGTTTATAAACAAAGAATACTCTCTCCATTGGTATAAAGCCACATGAGCTTATGCTCAAAGTGGACAATATCATACTATTGTGAAGAGTTGTGTTCGTCTAACAGTGTCTACTAAGGAGAGGTTTTCACACCCAAAGGGTTGATCACCAAAGGTTTGTTGTTGAAGGAAGATTTGTCTTTTCTTTGTCTGAATCGCGAAGACACCTAAAGGGTCGGTCCGACCAGACGTACCTCGGCTAGATTGAATAACGGATTTTATTTTTTTGTTGGAATGTAGTATTTGTGAATGGAAAATTGTGCAAGGACCCAAACCTTGTGAAAGCTGAAGACTTCATGTTCCAAGGACTCAACATAGCTGGAACCACAGCCAACAAACAAGGCTCAAACGTGACATTAGTAAACGTGGAGAGACTTGGTGGACTCAACACCCTTGGCATCTCCTTGGCTCGACTTGACTATGCACCAAATGGGCTAAACCCACCGCACATCCACCCACGAGCCACTGAAATTCTTGTGGTTTTGGAAGGCACTCTCCTCGTTGGCTTTGTCACCTCCAACCCCAACAAGCTTTTCACCAAAGCTTTGAACAAAGGAGACGTGTTTGTCTTCCCCATTGGCCTCATTCACTTCCAGCTTAATGTTGGACATGGCCCAGCTCTTGCTTTCGCTGGCCTTAGCAGCCAAAACCCTGGTGTTATTACCATTGCTAATGCTGTTTTTGGGTCTGTTCCTCCCATCTCCAACGCTGTTCTCACTAAGGCCTTCCAAGTTGATGACACTGTCATTCGTGCTCTCCAACACCAATTTGGAGCTTAAGAACATAGTTACTAAGTACATGGTTTTTGAATAATCATCCTTCTCTAAGATATGAAATTCAGAGATAAAATCAGAATAGAGATGGGTTAGAAGCACTCGTATGACTCGATCATCTCTGACCAACCCAACCAATCTAGCTTTGGTTCGATTTTAAATATTTAATATTTATAACCAATGATGTGACCGTTCAATGTAATATATACCATAAATAAATATAACTTTTTAAATAATTTAAAAAAAAAAATAATAATAATAGCGAGACAATTCAACTCAGTTCAATCATAAAACAAGAGGTTATTAGTTAATTGTAACGACCTAGGTTTCTACCAATCTAAAGTCGATACAATCATAAGTTATACTCTTATGCGAAATTAAACATTTAAATTGTCATCGTGAAGCATAAACTTCATATTAAAACAATGTCATGGACTTGCGTGTTTGAAAACATGTTTAAAACAGGATAAGACAATAATAAATAAAGCAAGTAAAACATTAAATGTAAAACACACTATTCTAACCTAAGTCTAAGAAATTAAAATACTACTATCCTATGAACATGTCATGGTCTCTGATTACGATGTCATCATCATGTACATGAGTGTCTTGCATCTACCTATAATAGAAGTAACACATGTCTTGAGTATTTCTAATTGACCCCGTTATTGGTGTCAGGAAATGCAAACACAACTCATGATCTAGACACCTTTTGTGTAGTACTTTACTATATACTACCCACACGTGCAAGCATGGATGTCCATATGATTCGCACCTCCAGACTCATCATAGTCGTGCTAGTTGTCTATAGCAACATCTAGAGGTCAACAGACCCCGTAGTGTCATGGGTTGTCAAGACTTACGAAAAACGTTATAAAAAGTTTACAATAACATTATTTGTAAGTAATATCCACTATTTCTTGTAATGTATATTTCCCGCCTCTCACCTAAACCCAACCTAAATCCCTTCCATGTCACACTTTATTTATAGTCCAAGTACATGCATATATATATATATATATATATATAATGCATGAATGACAACATTTATAATATTTTATCTTTTTTCTAATAGAAATTTGAAAAAATGAAAAATTATGGATTAGAAAATTCTTTGTAATAAATATTTTATTTTAAAAATAGAGATAATTAACTTTAGGAAATTGATTCCTACAAAAAAAAAAAAAAAAAATAAATAAATAAATAAATAATAATAATAATAATAAATAAATAAATAATTTTTTTTTTGTAGAGATGATAATTAAAATAAGATAGGAGGGCGGGGACCAGAAGATTTTCACGTCCTGATCCATAGACATCTCTAATCTTACTGTTCAATCTCGACCATGGTAATAAATTTTGGTAAAAAATTTATTACCAGTAAATGTATATTATTTCCAAATATTAAATATCCTGAAATTAATAATTTGCCAAGATTAAATATATATTAATTATTTAATGAAATTATGGTTGAGAAGAGAAAAGACCAATAAAAATAGCAACAGCATTCCTTCGACGTGAAATGGAAACAAAAAACAAAATTCAAAAAACTTCTCTCTCTCTCTCTCTCTCTCTCTCTCCCCCAATTGCTCGAATGCCCAAATAACGCAATGCGAGAGAACAAAAAGTGCGCAACGGAATGGAGAGAGAAATCAGAGTCGCCATTACCAGATTTCCAGAACGCGATGAATCAATCAACAACGACAGAGTTAATCTGAGAAACAATAACAAATCGCCTCAATTTCTCCTCCATTCCACTTCTTTTATCCAAATCTATACCACTACAGGTACACCTAAGGATTTGAGAATCTGCAGTCACAAATCATCTGATTTCCTGTTTCATGAATTCGTTGATCCGTTGAATCCATTTCTACCATCCGCATTTTTCCTTCTTCGTCCACATTCATCGATTAAGGTTCGAATCATGCACTTCTGTTTCTTTTCCTCTATTTTTTCTTTTGTTAGGTCTGTTTTTCCGTGATTTACAGAGAGAGAGAGAGAGAGAGAGTTCTCGATTTGTTTTACGAATTCGCATTTTCCGTTTCGCTGATTGTTCTTCTTGAATTTTATGATTCTGCTATTCGGAATATGGCATCATTCAACGCGATCTCTCAATAACCTATCTGCGTTCTTCTGTATCTGCTGGTATCAATTCGAGTATTGATTGCGTTTTCCTTCTGTTTTCCTTCTCTATGCGTATCAGATTAGGACGGAATGAACGTTTCGTTGCGTCAAGTTCGCTGGATTCACTCGCCTGGAAAAGAACACCGTGTGTGATTTGGTAATGTTATTAAACTTTAAGATTTTTGTTCTTTTGAATTATGGCAAATGTGGTGAGAGTTTAATTATTATTATTATCATTACAATGTCTTACGTTTACTATTTGATTTGAGAACTATGGATATGCAAGTTTACTCCATGCTAAAATTTTTATTCTAAATAATATGATTTAGATTATTTTCTTAATCAATTGACTGAAATTTGTTTGAATCATTAGGGATGATTCTAACCTAAATTATATTAAAGACAATTAAAAGGAATTACAAAGGTTGTTTTTACTATTTTTAATTTTGGTCATTCATGATATATTTCAACACCCCCAAATGCTTATTTCATTCTTCTGTAATCATCTAAAAATAAATGAAATTTCAGTTGATTAAGTTACTTATGGATTGTTTTTATATATTTATTTTAAGGATCCAATTTTTCTTTTTTCAACCATGTGAGACAAATAACTCAAATTTTCAATATTTCAGTCAAAATTATAATATATTATCAGTTTGAAAGAAATTATTCATAATTGATATTTACGTTTTCAAGATTGAAGCACGCATGCGTTTTTCTTTTCTTTTGTTCTTAAGTTAGTGAAGATTCAATGATAGATGTATAATTTCATTTAGTCTATCTATATTGATGATTAAAGTCGATGCATCATACTTATTATTATTATTATTTTTCTTTTTGCAGGAGTGAAGATTCAAATATTTGACTTGTTACTCAATAAATAATATATATCTTAATCAGTTAAGTTATTTTCAAGATAAAATATCTATTATCATTTTAAAATCAATATTTCTATCTTACACTCTACCACTATTGAACTTAAAATTATGTACTTAACATGCAAGAATAACTTGTTATAAATAGTCGGTTCAATTTTGGGATCATCCAACAACAAAATTATACAAACTGTTTTTTTTTTTTACTTTAATTTAAAATTGTGTTCACATTTTTATTTTTCTTGTAACATTATGTTATATTTACTAATAGTTCTTTTTAAGTTCATAGAGTTGTATGAGTTATGAGGTATGTAGTTAATTATTATTATTATTATTATTATTATATTCTTTAAATTTAACTGAGAGATATCAAATTTATCTAGTGAGGCAAAAGTTTCATAGAGATTTACCTCGAAGAAGACATAAAATTTCCATTTAAACAGAGAACGAGGTAGAAAATGGAAAAATATTGATCCAAATTAGCTAAATGGGGTCGAGGATGGAGTTAGTCCCACTTCATCCCTCCCCGTCTCTAACCCCACCCCTATTCCCGCTCAAAGTTCTACCCTGCCTCACTTTTCATATGTTTTTATTTATTTATTTATTTATATAGATTAGAAATTTATTTAAAAATTAGTTAAACCTAATATTTTTGAATTTTTAATTTTTTTAAGGATATTTTACCTCTTTTAATAAAAATTATCTACTAAAATTCTTTAATTTTTATATATATATATATGATGGAGAAATTTGGACGGGTAATTTTGGTCTAATCCGCATAGATGTAAATTGAAAATTGTACTAGATAAGAATTGATTAACGTCTCAACGGGTTCGGTAAACATCTCTATTTTTTTATTTTTTTTTTATTTTACTTAATTTGTTGGCCTAAAAATATATGTGATATGTACACATTGGGGAAGGGATGGCCTAAAAATAAAAATCATATTTCATTATTAGTAACCTAACTACCTTGTGATGTGCAGAATTTCGTAGCGTGATTTAATATTATTAGATCGAAAAGGTGAAACGAGGTGGCGGATGGGCAGACTGGGATGAGCGGAGTGGGCGCCGGTGGATTCCACTTCTTCAAATGGGCCATCCTGAGAACAAATTATCCGACCTCGTGGGCTTGGTGAAGTCATGGATACCATGGCGCTCCGACCCCGAAAACGTCTCCAGGGACTTCTGGATGCCCGACAAGAGCTGCAGAGTCTGTTATGACTGCGACTCTCAGTTCACGTTTATCAACCGGCGGCATCATTGCCGTCGCTGTGGGCGAGTTTTCTGTTCCAAGTGTACTGCAAACTTCATTCCTTCTCCTTCCACCGATCCCACGAATGCTCGGGAGGATTCTGAGACGATCAGAGTCTGTAATTATTGCTTCAAACAATGGGGGAAGGAACCGTCTGCCTTGCTAGATGGCAACAAAGCTACCTGCTCTGCTATTAGTCTGTCATCTTCATCCACCAGCATTGGTAGCACCAAGTCCGGATACACCTGTCAAAGTGCAATCAGTAATATTCCTTCAACGCCTTGCTCAAATGATCGTCAATATTATGATCCCTTTTGTTCTGTATCCATCGCTGATGAGCAAGACAGTTTAAGAAATGGGAAGACCATTAAACGCTCTACTTCTCTGATGACTTCATCTTCTAGTTATTATGGCTATTGCAGGTATTCTCTCCGGTGTTGATTTAAGATTCAACGTTTAATTCTCATTTGTCTCTAAATAAACCTTAACTTAATTCTTTTGCATTGAGCGGTAGTTTATCATGATATCTAGATAGATAGTGTTCGTATTCGAATTTCTTAAATTTTATATGCTTTAGTATTGATAACTACGTGTAGGATTGAAGTGTTGATATAATATGAAGTTTACCATTATCCAACTGGTAGGATGAGAGGTGATTTAAGTTCTTAATTCATGCGAGAGGCGATGCTATTGTGTCCCAGTTATTTTAATTCTCTTGAAGCTCAACCTGTGCCCTTGTAGTCGTATTCTTACGCAATATGCTTTAGCCGATGCAATTGTGTCCCAGTTATTTTAATTCTCTTGAAGCTCAACCTGTGCCCTTGTAGTCGTATTCTTACGCAATATGCTTTAGCCGATGCATGCTTATAACTGTGAATAGAGACTATGATACGGATTTTTCTATCATTTTATTGATCAGATGTTTATATTTCAGATCATCGTTAATTGTTGTTGCTCTTATATTTTTGTTTCTATCATTTTATTGATACGCAATATGCTGTATTTTCTTGTTAGGAGTGATGATGAGGATGGTGATTATTATTATGGAATGTGTCGCTCGGATTCCGAATCCAGGCATATCTCCCAGTCTGGTCATTATTATTGTTCCGCAAACACTGAAGAAGGTTTAAATCTTGAGAGAGAGAACATGAGCACAAAGGGTTCACCTGTGAATTTTGACACTCAGAGTCCAAGGGGTGATGAGGAATCTAGTGAAGACTCTGACGAAAATGATAAAGGCTCTGAATGTGATTTTCCTACTTATGGCATGCAAAATAAAGATAATGAAGCTATGGATTTTCAGAACAATGGGATTCTCTGGCTTCCTCCAGAGCCAGAAGATGAGGAGGATGAAAAAGCTCTTTTGTTTAATGGTGATGATGATGCCTGTGCCCCAGGTGAATGGGGACATCTACCTTCTTCCCAAGGCAGTGGGGAATGCCCCATGAAGAGAAAGTCCAGTGGGGACTACAGGAGAACTGCAAAAAACGTGGTAGAAGGGCACTTTAGAGCTCTCGTTAGTCAACTTTTGGAGGCTGAGAATCTTCCTGTCGGTGATGAACCCAATGAAGATGGTTGGTTAGATATATTAACATACCTGTCCTGGGAAGCAGCTGCAGTTCTGAAGCCAGATACGAGCAAGAGTGGAGGTATGGATCCTGGTGGATATGTTAAGGTTAAATGCGTTGCTGGTGGAAAGCGTACTGAGAGGTAAGTTAACTCCATGGACCAATCATGTCAGCTATAATTTATTGATATTGAATGTCTGTTGATTGCTTGAGGATTGGCTCAATATTTGACAGAGGACCAGGTTTATATTCTAGCGAGTCAGTGTTTTTTATTAAGGACTATAGATTTCATTTTCTGACCGAGATAAAGTGCTCTCACGATTCTTTTTCTTTTCTTTTCTTTTCTTTTTTTCCCCTTTATTTCACTCCTCCTAGGAGTTTATTTCCTTCGAATATTTGGTGTATGTTTTCATTCTTTTAGTAAGAAGTTTGTTTCTTGTTCAAAAAAGGTTGTGTTCATAGTCGAATCACGTTACTTTATGCACTTATTGACTATGTTGTTAGAGAAGGAGATTAGCATGATCTTATGGAGTTTGTTGTAATTTTTTTTCGAATGTGCTAAACGAACTCTTCATATGGGCTTTTTGAGAGAATATAATATGAGCTTTTAGAGAATCAATTGGTATCAAAAGGTTCCTTATTTTGAAATATTTTCTCAAGATTCAACCTAAGTATTACAGAATTGCCAATACATTTTGTTTACCACGTTGTAAGAGTATGACTCCATGTTGCGTGTTCATTTTACCATTGGAGTTATGGTTATTGTGTTACTGTAAGGGTTTTTGTGGTTTGATATGACTACTATTCCTTTGCAGTATCATTGTGAAAGGCATCATTTGCAAGAAGAATGTAGCACACCGGCGGATGACAAAAGAAATATCTAAACCACGCTTTTTTGTCCTTGGGGGAGCTTTGGAGTATCAACGTGTTACCAACCACTTGTCAAGTTTTGATACTTTGTTGCAGCAGGTTTCAAACTGTTTACCCTTATCCTTTTCATTAGGTTTGTATGTCGAAGTTTTATTCTGTAGATTTCAACTACTTCAACTCCTATGTCTTGTTGATGTACTTGCGATCACTAATTATGAGTTTATGGCATTTGGCATACTTCTTTTCATCATGGGTTCTTTGTATGTACATATACAGGAACTTGACCATTTGAAGATGGCTGTTGCTAAGATTGATGCTCATCATCCCAACGTTCTTTTGGTAGAGAAATCAGTGTCTCGCCATGCTCAGGAGTACCTCCTCTCAAAAAAAATCACTCTTGTTCTAAATGTTAAAAGATCACTTTTAGAGCGTATTGCTTGCTGCACTGGGGCAAATATAGTTCCTACTGTTGATCATGTTGCATGTCTGAAACTTGGTTACTGTGATGAATTTCGTGTGAAGACATTTGTTGAAGAGCATGGTAGTGGTGATGGCCAAGCTGGCAAGAAATCAACGAAGACCCTGATGTTCTTTGAGGGATGTCCAAAGCCTCTATGTTGTACTGTAAGTCTATGTTACAACAAGAAGTATGATTTTAAATGAGAACAAACAAGATATGCAATCGTGGTCATAATTATTTGTTTCTCTAAACGAAAGAAAAAAAGAGCATACAAAAAAATAAGTTCCCAAAAAGGAGTCTGCCCTAACTACATAAAAGACTATAATCCAAAAGAATACAACCAATTTCACAATTATAAGAAAGCTGAGTGACAGACACCTAGAAGGTGGTGTTAAACCTAGCCACCTCCCAAACTTCTTCTTTCGGTCTCTCAATCTCTCTAAAAATTCTATTACCTCTTCCAATCCAAATGTCCTATAAAATAGTTATGATATTAGCATGCCACAAAACTTTGCTTTTCGGGTGGATTCGAAACTCTTCTCCTAAAGGGTGGATTCGAAACTCTTCTCCTAAAGGGTGGATTCGAAACTCTTCTCCTAAAGGGTGGATTTGAAACTTTGTCTTTGTCTTTGTCTGGATGGTTGAGATATTTTTCATTTTGCATGGAAGTAGCCGAGTCGTCTGTGAGAAAATGGGATTAAAATGCTTTCTGATACTTATCTAAAACTATCTTGTAATTTTAATTCTTGCAGTATACAGATCCATTATAATAGATCCTCAGTTTTAAATTTCTCGAGTGGAAAGTAAGTTGGTAGGTATTGCCTTATAACTTAGGTCACAATTCTAAACACAATTGGATTTAAGGCTGTATTTAAAGGTTGTGCTAGTTTCTTTACAGTCTCTTGTAGTTTTTTTTTTTTTTTTTTTTTTTCCTTTTAAATTAACATTTGAACTCTTGAACAACTTTAGATGACAATAAAAATTTTAGAACAGTTTTTTTTTTTTCTTTCAAAACTTGATTTAGATTTTGAAAACATTAGTAGGAAGTAGATAATAAAACAAAAAAAACTGTAATAGTTTAGTTTTCAAAAGGATGTGTGAAATTGGCATGGTAATACAAATCTACATTAGACTTTTTCTTTAGAACTAGCCAGTGCTTTCCTCTGCAATGTTTATGAAAAAAGTTATTAGATAAAACCATCTGAAATAATGTAGACAAATTGTTTTACCTTCAGATTTTGCTCAGGGGTGCCAGTGGGGATGAGCTCAAAAAAGTTAAACATGTTGTTCAATATGCAACTTTTGCTGCCTATCACCTGGCTCTAGAAACATGCTTTCTGGCTGATGAAGGTGCTTCAGTTCCAGAGCTCCCATTGAAGTCCCCAATAATAGTTGGTCTTCCTCATAGTCCATCAAATATAGACAGATCCATCTCCGCAATACCTGGTTTTACTTGTCCATCGCCTGTAAAGTCTCCAGAGCCAGAACCCAGTATGGAAACTGGGCAATCCGGAAACGATGCTGTTCCAACTAGAGACTCGTCTATAATCAGTCATAATGTTGACAATTTGAACTCTTTAGAGCCTTCCTTGAGGCTAGTGAAGTCCAATGCTACCTCCACTAATTTGTCTTTTCTGAAGCAGAACGTTTCTACCGCCGACCGTAATTATATGCTTTCCTCCAAACTAGCCTCCGAGGCAAATAGAAATCCAGACAGTGAAGAATATTCAATGGGCATGATGACTATCAAGGAAGAAGCAAAGGAAGATGCAAAGGAAGATGATGATACAGTTTCTAGTTCTGGTAAAGGTGTGCCTTTGACTCGTGGTAACTCTATTCATATACGCAGCAATTCATTGGATGCAAATACCCAAGGTTCCAATGATTCAACATGTCAAAGAACTGAAAGCCTTATTGCTAATCTAGTGACCACCAAATCTTCAAGGGAAGATTTCCCCTTGTCTCCTTCTGACCAACAAAACATTTTGGTGTCTTTGTCAACACGTTGTGTGTGGAAGGGAACTATTTGTGATCGTGCTCACCTATTACGAATTAAATACTATGGGAGCTTCGACAAGCCTTTGGGCAGGTTCTTACGAGATAATTTGTTTGATCAGGTAATATAGTCTTCTAATGATTATTAACTATTGGAAAGCTCTCATGTATAATATTCCTCAAGGCTCCTGGGAAAGGATTTATTTACCTCTTGTCTTTTAGGTTCGCTCTTCACTTTTTATTAGTTATATGCTTATCGGTTTCTTATATTTATAAAAGATCAGGTAATAAAAGAAATGTTGTTTTCCTTGACTGAGTATTATCTATATTATCTTTTCTCTTCTTACAGAATTATCGATGTCATTCATGTGGTATGCCATCTGAGGCACATGTTCATTGTTATACGCATCCACAAGGCAGCCTTACAATATCTGCTAAGAAACTCCCTGACTTTTTCTTACCGGGGGAACCTGAAGGTAAAATTTGGATGTGGCATCGGTGTCTGAAGTGTCCTCGGACTAACGGCTTCCCTCCAGCCACCAGGAGAGTTATCATGTCTGATGCTGCCTGGGGTTTATCTTTTGGTAAATTTTTGGAGTTAAGCTTTTCAAATAATGCAGCTGCCAGCCGTGTTGCAGGTTGTGGCCACTTCCTTCATAGAGATTGTCTCCGGTTCTATGGGTATGAATTTTTTTCGTATAATTTTACTTCTTCAGCGATGAAGTGTGATTGTCGCTGCCTGGTTAGTTCTGAGCTTGACTAGAAATCAGCTAGTTTACTTTATATCTGATTTTTAATTTCCTAAACGTTGCCTATGTTTGTGTATGTTTAAAATTCCATATTGAAATGCCAATGACACAAGATCCACGACTTTGAAAGGTAGGGAGATGCTTTGGATGGTTGAACGTAACTTGTTAGTTGTTACTGCATTACCCATCATCGACCTAGTACCAACGATATTTATGTTTTTTTGTTTTAATTATTATTATTTTTTTCTATTTAAACATTATACTAGCATAGTTGAGGAGGGAATTTTTTAATTAATAATTTTAAATAATGAAACATCACACTTTCATTGGGAGATGAAAGAACACAAGGGCAAACAAAAAGAAAGCTCACAAAAGTGAGCCACCCTATACAAAGGAAAGACTAAGAGTGTTATTATAAAAAGACTTTGTCACTAAAGCATAAAGAGAAACGTAAAATCTAACAAGGAACAAACATCACTCGAATACCTCTCCATACTCCTAAATAATCTATAATTTTTCTTGCCCCAGAGATCTCACTAAATAACTGGCACCCCCACCTGTTACAAAAGAAATCCATTTCTTTCAAGAAGGTGAATGGAGAAGGAGATCATCTGATGTCTCTTTACAACCCTGGAAGTTGGTAAAATAGAAACCTAACTCCTCGAATTGTAACTTTGGAAGTCCCTTGGTTAACACATTAATTATTGCTTTGTGGTTGGAAGATAGGTAATGCATATTACTTCAGCATCAATCTCCTCATTTATGACATGTTTATCAACCTTGATATGATTTGTCTGTCCTATCATGAAGGACTGGATTATGAGCAATAGAGATGGTAGCATTGTTGTCATAATAGATACGTATGGGAGTCATCTGAGAGAATTTCATTTCTTCCATAGTCTCTTCAATCCATATAGCCTACAAATACCATTAGTTAATACCCAAAATTTTGCTTTAGTACTACTTTTGGCCCCACACTTTGTTCTTTGCGTCAGGCAACTAAATTGTCTCCAACAAAAGAATAGTAAAGGGAAATAGATCTTCTATTTGTGATGATACTTGCCTAGTCAACGTCAGTGTAAATTTCAACATGTAGGTGGTCATGTTTCTTAAACACTATGCATTTTCCTGGAGTTCCTTTCAAGTATCTCTCTTAAACTTCTTTGAAGTGAATTTGGTCCCAGGCATGCATAAACCAACCAACCATACTAACTGCTAAAGCAATGCCTTGACGTGTATGGGACAATAAATGTCTTTCCGCACTTCTTTGGTATTTATCCTGGTCTTTTATCTATTCTTTTGTTGCAGTTGTAGTTTTAAATTTGGCTAGTAGGGATTTCTGCAGGTGTGCAACCAAGTGATCATGTCTCTCAAAATAGATCAACTATATACTTCCTTAGATTTACCAAAATGCTCCTTTTTTACCTAGAAATTTTTTTTCCTGGGAAATACTTCAAGATCCTCGAGTCTTTGATGGAATTCGTTTGCTAGATTTTCTTTCAAAATAATCAGTCTTGCCTCATAATTACCAGTAAGGATAATGTCATCAACATATACTATTAAAACACAAATCTTATCATCTCTAGTGTGTTAAAAAATAGTATGATTTGCTTGACTATGAAGGAATCCATAGCTCGGGACAACTTTTCCAAAACATACAAACCATGATCTAGGAGACTGTTAAGGTATTATGGAGATTTCTTTAACCTGCAGTTTGTTAACTCGAAAATACACCTCAAAACTAGGTGGTAAGTTCATAAAGACCTCTTCAAGATCTCCATTAAAAAATGCATTCTTTACACCAAGCTGATAAGAGGTCAATTTGAATTAACAACAATAGACAAATAAACGCTAATAGAATTAATTTTACCAATATTAATGGACTCCCCATACCCTACTTGTTATACTGAACAAAAAAACTGGACCAAATGTTTCTTATCAGTTTCATATGATTGAGTAAAGTCTTTAGCAACTAATCTAGCTTTGTATCTTTCAATGCTACCATAAGCTTTTCACTTTGGAGTAAACACCCATTTGCAACCCACTGCTTTCTCCCATGTGCAGTTTTGTTTAAGAGCATTCATCTCTTCCGTAACTACTAATTTCCAATTCGAATCATTTAAGGTCTTCCATATATTCCTTAGAATAAATAAGTTGGTTATCCTAGAGGTCTATGATAAGAAAGATAGCTTGCAATAAGGTATTTGGTGTCATTACAAGTATTTTTCTTCTAGGCTATCAGGATGTCAAGATTAGATGCATCAGTATCTTAATAATAGCTAAAGAAATGAGAATAGAAGATCTGTTACCTGAATCTTTAGAATTATTTGTCGGAACATTAGATTGGTTTTGTGTTGAGTCCATTGTCTGGTCATGGTTTTTTTGATTGAATGGTTGACCAGTTATATCATTGTGTAGTATTTCTTCCTTTAATGAAATAATTTTTGATACTTGACATTGAAAGGCTAGAACTCGTATCCTCAGGACAAATGATGTTAGGAAGAGAAGAAGTGTCTCAAACTATCTTTGTAGTTGGATATCTCTGCCCGAAGAGAATTTGAACTAAGAATAAATTGATCTTCCCAAAACGAAACATCCATACTTTCAAGATATTTGTTGGTTAGAGGATCGCAACATTTATAACCTTTTTTTTTTTGTGTGGAGACAATCTAAAAAATATGCATTCAACTGCTCGAGGATCAAGCGTAGATCGACAAAGAATAGGAATGTGAACATGTGCAATGCATCCAAAGACTTTGATTGATAGCTTCAATACACAAGATACATCATGGTTTGATACTGTAGTCACACAAGACACGAACCTTCTTAGGTGACTTGTTCAATTGATTAGAGGCCTTCTTTGTGATAGTCTAGCCTCAGCCTCCAAAGTAAAACTTTCAGTAGAACTTGTAGGTTTCTTGAGAAACCTAACACTGACAACTTTCTTCCATGCTAGCTTCAGGGGGAAAAATGCTTCCTTAATAGGTGGATGAGTGGTTTTACCAAGAATTCTACCTCTAATTTCATCAAGTTCAACATTGAGGTTGACAATGAATTTGTAAATATGACCATTTTCTGCAGATTTTTTTGCGAGGCTTTTGATCTTCAGTTGACTTCCAGTCATACATTTTAAAGAGATTGAGATCTTGTCAAATTCTTTTTAGGGAGTGAAAGTATTGCGTATATGTGTCGCCTTCTTACTAGATGTCACCCAGTTTGAGAATCCTAAGACTTGTTATACATAAATATTAATACATCTTGGTGACAATATCCCATATTTCATGTGCAGTAGTGCAATGCAATAGTTGCAACTTATTTCCTCCACCATAGTTTTCAACATCCCAACTGGAGGAATATAGCCAATCTTTGTTCATGAATTTTCATCCACACACTTTGGGATCGACACCAAAAATTACACCATTAAACCGAATGGTAGGAATTTTGACAGTAAGACTATTAAGATGGATGCGTTTATCCAAAACTTTGGCAACGGACTTATTGGTCAACATTATTGTTGAAGAGGTCCAGAACAACTAGGTTTTTTTTTTCAACTAGGTTCATTGATGATTGAAATTTACAAAAGTTATGTAATATATGTGGTGTTTACAAAAGACCTTCCCAATTTGCAATAAGGAGGTATAACTCTAGGAAGTAAAAAATATTAGATAGTTTACACCAAGAAAAAGCTTGGTAAACAACATTGTCGAAAAGTTTTGTATAAGTCTGTCTTTTTTGCGAATATTCTCTGATTTCTTTCTTTCCACATATTCCACTTGATGAGATTTTTCCATAATTGGGCTTTTGCATTCTTGAAAGGGTGTTACGTTAATGTCATATGCAATAAATCCTTTACCTCCCTAGGAAATGTGAGATGACATCCGAATATATTAAGAATCGTTGTCCAGAAATTTTGAGCGTATGTGCATTGTAAGACATTATTTTTTTTGAAGATTTTCATTTGTGCTAATGGCTTTATGCGCTATTTCCAAAGGAAGAACTTCACCTTTTTAGGTTGATGTTTTTTTTTTTTTTTTTTTTTTTTTTTTTTTTTTTTTTTTTTTTTTTTTTTTTTTTT